TCCCCTCCCCTCCGTAACAAATACACACCAGTTCATGGGTGGTGAATGTTGTTTGGCTTATTGTAAAGATGATTTTTTGGGGGGGGGGGGGGGGGGGGAGAAGGGGCACCAAATAAGGAAAAATAAAAAAACACTTTGTATATGACTTTTAAAAAAAAAAAAACGAAAACAAAAAACAAAAGAGGACAACACAGTATTTTTCAAAATTGTAAATAGCGCATATGCATGGATAAAAAAAAAAAAAAAGGAGCAAGCGTGGCACGTGTTTGCATAATGTTTAATTACAAAAAAAAAATATTTATTCTTTAAAAACCTTCAAGATGTCTCTATTTGCCGTGCATTTCTTCTTCTTCTTCTTTTTTTTTCCTTCAGTTTGCTTTTAATTCGGAAAGGGAGGGGGCAACGTGAGCAGCTGCAAACAACTCAAATTCTCTGGCTCAAACAAGATAGATAGATTGTGGGTGGGGGGGTTATTTTGGGGGGGTTAGGGGGCTTCCTCTTCCTCCCACGCCTTGCAACCCATTCCTTGTTCGGGTGTGTGTGTTCCTTGCTGGCAACGGACACCGTCCCTTGCACACTTGCAGCTTCCTTGGTGTGCGTTTCCCGTTTTTGAAAATCAAAGTGTTGTAATTCTGGCTGCCTTTCCCCCCCCCCCCCCCCCCCCCGGTTTTTGAACCCCCCCCCCCCCCCCCCCCAATTTCCTCCTAACCTCGGCCGTTTGCCCGTGTGAAAATCCAATTCTCTTAATTCCACAACTGGTTCATTCATAGGAAATTTTGGGCATGTGGGTTAAGGTCTCTGTGTGGAACATTCCTTGTTGAGGTGTCGGATCTTGGAAACCGCTGGGAAAAACTGTGGCGTTTGGTGGTGGTTGGTGAGGAAAAAGTGCTCGGTGCAGCAGATATTCCCATCTAGTTGCAAGAATCTGTAGCATTTCTTCCCCCAGTAACGTTAAGAGAGGTGGACTTCCAATTCCCAGAATTCCCCAGCCAGCTTTGCTGGCTGGGGAATTCTGGGAGTTGAAGTCCACACCTCATCTTTGCTGCGGTTGAGAATTTGATCTATATAGTTTCTGGAGCTATTGAGTATTTTTTAATTTCCCCGAATGAGGAGGAAATCATGAATATCAAACTATATACAAGTCATTTATAGTCTCATATTTTCTTTTTTATAATAAAAATTACCTTCAAGCACGGTTTGGAAGCTGTTTATTACCGTATGGGAGCCTCTTGTGAGTTTTCCCAGCCTGCTTACGTGGCAGTATTTCTACTTTCAAATTCAGGGGGTGGGGAAAAAAAGCTGGATGTACCCCCAAAAAATCTAGCTGATTTCTCAAAGGGCTGATTTTCCGATACATTTCCCCCCTCTTTTTTAAAAAGAAACTTATTTAAGTTTCCAAGGATCTGTCCAGCTAGTTTCATACGTGTGTGCCAGTGTCGCTTGTGGTTGTGTGTGTGTGTTAGGGACAGCCTGCTCGCCCACCCTGGCAAATATTTCCGTAACTGCAGGAAGTGTAGGGTTTGGCACAATCTGCTGTTGGATTAGGGGTTTTCCTGCAAATGTGGAGTGACTCAGTTTCCCTGTTTGGGCAGCTCAGCTTTGCATCTGATGAGACTTTAAGACCTAGTTTTGGCTTACCTGCGGAGTTCCCGAAACAACCTCTTTCGGTATAAGGGAGAGAGAAGGTTGTTTTTGCTTTGTGACTTCCTACCTGGAATGAAAGTTCGGAATTCGTCAACGGGTTTTGGAAAGGTGCAACTACATATTTTTTCCCCCAAAATTTCTGCGTTTCAAATGCAACGCCCCTGTTGCTTGAATGATTTTTTTCCTTGCAGTCTTTGCATGCTCCCAATAAGACAAGGGCCTTCAAGTTTGACAGCTTGGAAGACCGGTGGATTTCCCAACTCCCAGAATTCCTGAGCTAACATGACTGGAGGAGGAATTCTGGGAGTTTGAAGTCCACCAGTCTTAAAGCTGCCAAGTTTGAAAACCTCTGCAGTAAGACATGACGAAGTGCTTCCAATCCAGTTAAGATGAGGATGTGTGTCTCTGCATGTGTGTCTGTGTGTGTGTATCGATCATTTTTATCATCCCTGCTTGGAACTAGCTTGATGGGACAAGGGGTCCATTCCTTGGAGAGTCCCATGGAATAAACCCATTCTATCTCCTCACATACGTCTCATGCTCGGCTCTTTCTCTCACTATTTTGCCATTGCCCCTGTATTATTATAACAATAGGGTTGTTTTTAATGAAATGTATATAGAAGCATTGTTGCACTGTATCTTCTACTAACCCTGGGTATTCATGTGGGGTCAGGAGGGGGAGCTTCCTAAAATTGGGATTTGCAAATGGTTTAAGCCAATATTTCCCGACCCTAGCCACTTGGGAGACGTGTGGACTTCAACCCCCAGAATTCCCCTCCCCCCCCCACAGCATGGCTTAGGGAATTCTGGGAGTTGAAGTCCACGCATCCTCAAGTTGCTGAGAAACTCTGTTATATAGGGTTATTTCTTGACCTAATACTCCTTCCTTGATTCCCAATCCTTTAGAAAACAAATAGTACCTTCTTCTTTTTTAAAAAATAAATTCTCGGCTACTTTTAAATTTTGGTTGGTGCAATCTGTTGAAGATACAGTATTGTGCTGCCATCTTATGGGCAGATGGAATGAGGGCCACCCCCGACAAGAGGCGATCCTGGCCTTTTTTCTCACGCTCATTTTCTTCTTCCCCATAAAAGTGACTGCATTTGGGTTTTATCGCTAGTGTATGTATCAAAACCGTCTTTTTAAGTTTTCAGAACCATTTAACTCAAAAAGTGTTGTAGTACAAACTGCTGTATTAGAAATCAGTTATTGTGTGAGACCAGAGTGGTGTTCTTTGGCAGACTTTTCCATGTATAGAAAGCTCCTGTAATCCAGCATGTAAGGGAGAGGGTAAGGCGAGTGGGCTGGGCTATGACTGAAGGCTTGTAAGTTTCTTTTTTTTATTTTATTTTATCCCCCACTCCATCATAAAAGACCTCCATCTCATGCTGTGGAATTAACTGTTCTTAGACTTCATTGTAACTGGCGGACTGTTCCGTATTAAGGCTAATCAGAAGGAGAAACTGCGTTCTAATTCTAATAAACTTTTATTTTGTTATTTCATTTGTAATTTTTTTTTAAAAGAGTGTTTCGCTTGCAGTGATTTTGCATCTTCAAGGAAAACATCTTGAGCAGGTTAACAGCTGGAAAACGCCAAACAGATGTTAGCCCTCATTGGGATGTATAGCTTTTCATATGCAGCCTGATCTGCCTTTTGCCTTGCCGTGGGCCCATAGTCACATCACCTTCTGCCATCTATCTTGATTTTGGTACTGTTTCTCCCCCCCCCCCCCCCCCCCCCCAAAAAAAATCCAATTCAGAAGAACATAGCTGGCTTTTCCTTTAGTATTACCGCAATCTTGGCTTAAACCAGTGTTTCTTCGTCCACAGGTTCTAGAACATCGGTTTCCAACCTTAGCAACTTTAAGGCTTGTGGACTTCAACTCCCAGAATTCTGAGACTCCCAGAACTCCACAAATCTTAAAAATGGCTAAGGTTGGAGACCCCTGTCCTAGAAGACCCAAAGACCCTCCCCTCTCAGGGAGCCAGAATTATTTTGCCAGACTTGTTGAAAAAGAATGCAATATTAAAATCCAATCAAGGGTGAAAAATGGTGGCAAGTGCATCGGTTTTAATTGTTAATGCAGTAAATATTGATAAATATACACACTCTTTTTGGGTCCTGTTAAGTTCCAAATGGGACTCCTAAGAGAAAAATAAATTAAAATAAAACCATCCAGACTAAAATTAGCATGAACTTTGATCAGTGACCTTCACAGATGATGGAACTTAAGTTCAGCAGTTAAACCATTACCTTCCTGCTTCATTTGATAAATTTTAGATTAGCTCTTCAGATTCTGCCTCTTGAGCAAGTAACTGACTTTGTTATCCTTGTCTAAAATCTCTTTCCAGCAAAACCTGTTGTAAACAACTCTTAAAAACCTATCCAAAGCTAGCCCATTTTATAATAACCCTCAAGTGACTCAGTGGAAAAGAAATCTAATGACTATGAATGACAATGTGAGCTCCGCTTCTTGCAAATTCAGAAAACCCGTATTTTCTAAATGTCTCCAGTAAGACGAATTCTCAAGGCTCATAAAATCTTTTACACCAGCATTGAAAGAAACTTAAAAGACACCAGTGAACCAGGTCGAAGTGTTGAGTGAAAAGACCTTGATTCTTCACTTCTCTCGTACCCTGCTTGTAATGCTGTTGAATTTTTGAAAGCTGTATGTGGATATTTTAAATTTTTCAATAGCTAGCGAATTTAACCCTGCCAACATGGCCCGTATTGTCCAGACCTGTGCCCATAGAAACAGCAGCATTTTCTTGGTGCCGATCAGAATATTGTTTTCCATCATTGGAACTTTTTAAAATCACTTGATTAAACGTTGGCACAAGTGCAATTTTGCAATGGGTG